CTTCATGATCAAGAGAACATTGAAAAAGGCCTAACATGACAGATGAGCAATCTCACTGACAGGAAAATAAACAACTTTCTATCTCTCTTTCGCTCTTTGTGGAATCAGAAGGTGTTTCATCTCCTTTTCCCAAATATATGTTTGAAGTTCTCAATCACAGAAATCTTCGATGAATAAATTGTAATAACATCTACAATCCTCGTAAGATTGTGCGTGCAGATTTCACAGTTTGCTTCACAGCGACGGGGAATCATTGAGCACCCAGAACTAGGATATCCCGAGAATGATCACAACAAGAGTGGGCCAAGACCTCAAACATTTTCGGTAATGCCATCTAAAATTTCTAGTGCTTGCATTGTACTTATAAATGATTCCAAGATGATAAATGATTGTGTTTGACAGGGTCAACGAGCCTTGAATTTTGTGCTGAGGAACCAAGAGCTGATAGACAAAACTTCGCTGTTTGACATTGAGCTCCTTAAAATCATCCCAAGCTAACTCCAAACAGTTTCCTCTGCAGGCTGTACGTACTCCACTATTCTTTTGTTTCGAGTAGTTGAGAGAGTCCTATGATTTCCTTGTGTGAAGTGTTGAAAGTTTATTCTGCTCCAGGCGAGGAAGGAGAATTGGCGTTCAAAAAATCCAAATTGGATAACACCATGATTCGTCCCACTTAGGGAATTAGTTCAAGAGGCTAGAGAATGCTCATTTGTAAATTTATGTAATATTTTACTATGTTTTTACACCAAAATCCGAAAGGAAGTTTTGAATTTGACCTTGTTCCTCGAGAAGGTCCCTTTTTTTCTGGTTTTTATTAGTGCAGCATCATTGCAAAAGTTCTTTGGTGAAAGAATTGTATCTCGGTTTGTCAGCTGTAAACAAGGATGAATCTTCTTGTTTAATTTCTGCAGCTTCAATTGGAAATTATTAGAAGTCATGATCAATTCTAGTTTTCATATATATATATATATCAGTTTTCATATATATATATATATATATATCAAGACCATTCATGAACGGAATTGAGAATATAATCTTAATTGTTTTTTAAAATTGCAATATATATATATATCAAGACCATTCATGAACGGAATGTTCTTAAAGCTTGTTTGAGAAAATAATTTTAATTGTTTTTTAAAATATTTTTTATTTAAAAATATATTAAAATAATATTTTTTATTTTTAAAAAATTATTTTTGATATTAACTCATCAAAATAATTTAAAAATATAAAAAATTTTAATTTAAAATAAAAAAATAATTAAAATTTAAAACTTTTTTAAAAAACTTTTAAAACACAAAAACACCATCGATACAGAATTTCCACTTGCTTTATTTTTACTGAAGACGATAGGTCCAGTGGCTAGACTACTAATTTCACTGCTTATAAAAAACTCAACTGGATTGCTAAAATAACACAGGTCTACAGCCCCAAATTCAAACAAAACATTGCAACAACCTAAAGTAATCACCGGGCAGGGACCTCGGAAGCACAAATAAACCAAAGCACAGATGGGGAAAATTCATTCGACAGAAATTCAAGTTGTCCAAACTTCCACAAAGTTGTTCCCTTAATTAACTGAAAGCTCACGCCGCTTGTAGCGCACCATCACCTTGTCCTTCACACCAACGACCATTGCATTCCAGTCTATCTCAGGGAAAGGAGATATGAGCTCAAATTCAAAATTCCTCAGCAAATGACTCCATATAGCCTTTATCTGCAAGTAAGCAAATGGTTCGCCAAGGCACCCATGCCTGCCACCTCCAAAAGAAATGTATGAAAATGCCCCTGCTGCTTTGTCTTCTTCTCTCCCAGCAGCAAATCTGTCAGGATCATACCTTTCTGGATCCTTGAAGACATGAGGAAGACGGTTAGCAAATGCTGGAGATGTTGCGACTATGTGGCCCTTTGGGATGTCATATTCTTTCCCATCTCGTGTTGTCACGCTAAAGTCACTATGTGAGCTCCGTAAAAGCATAATTAATGGAGGATGGAGTCTGAGGGCCTCCTTGATGCACCTATACAAGACATCCATCTCGGATAAAATATCTTGGTCAACTTTGTTCCCATGCTTTTTCAGCAAGTTCTTCTGCTCCTCCAACACAGCAGATAGGTATTCGTTGTGTCGCAGAAGATAGGCTCCTGTCCAAGTGGAGGTGATGGAACTGGTGTGCTGCCCAGCAAAGAGAGCAGCAATGAGCAGGCCTGTGATCTCAGACTCGGTTGTTGGGCGACCATCTTTATACTTGGAGTCAATGAAGCACTGCAACATGTCATTCTCTGATTTTCCAGCAAGCTTGCGGGAATTTATAATATTTGCAAAGATTTCTGCAAGCTTCTTGCGTGCCCGATCACGGCGGCGATGAGCTGGGATGGGCAAGTATGGGAATAAAACACTGATTGGGAGCATTCCATTGTCAAGGTCATGGAATAGAGCAGACACATCATCAAAAAGCTTGTCACGAACTTCTCGTCCAAGTAGACATCTACTGGCTGTCAAAATGATCAGATGCTCGAGCTCATACTTCAAGTCTACCACCCCACTGTCTCCCCATTTTGAGAAGTAGTCCTGCCAGTTTCAAAATGACAACAAAATGATTAGCACCATGAATCTGTACATCCTGAGGACAGCATGGCAATTCTGGAAGTTATACAAGGGTAACAATCTAGAGTAAGATTATGCACACTGTGCTGAACAAAACCAGTAATAAATGACGATTCTCTAGAATGATAGATGGAAGCATGGCCACCAGACTTAAATTTAAAATCCAAAATAACTATTTGTGCTTAAATAGCCAACATTAAAGAAAACACACAAGAATTGATTGCATACAACTTAAACAGTAATAAACAACAGAGAGAGCTGGCTGATAAGAAACTCGATCACCTCTGTTTCTACCACCATCTGATCCACGTATCCCTTGAGTTTGCTCACTCTTAGAGCCTCTGTAAAGAATCGAAATTGCTCTTGCCTTATAGAGTAATCCACATCAAACACAACACCAGGACCAAAAGTAGGCACATTGAACTGATACACCTCCTGCTGGCTCAAATCTGCTTCGGAGGCCTTGAAGAAGTGAGCAGACACCTCAGGGCCAATCAAGAAAGTAATCTTCCTGTTAGCTAGGTTCACTGTAAAAACACTGCCAAGTTTTGGGTACTCTTCACGAAGCATGACGATGGGTCCTTTAAGGAATCGAATGAGGCCTCCTATCAAAGGCCAACCCTTCATAACCGGAGGCAACCGCTTTTGAGATCTAGGCATTATAAGTGCAGAGATAAGCTTGGCCACTAGTAGAGTGGTCAAAATGAGCAGACCCACATTCAAGAACTTGTTTTCCGTATCTTTAGTCATTGTAAAGTCAGTAGATTTAGCTGAAAATCCAAACAGGAAACAGAAATATCAGTCAAATAGTACCCACGTCACATAAAACAGCTTAAACACAATATGAATTTCTAGAAGTTAAATTAAAAGCAGATCTAAAGGTTCCATTTTTAGTTAACATTGGAATCAAATAACAGGAAAAAAAAATCGCAATCAGTTCATTTCACAACACCACACTCTGCAGTGCTTGGAAGCTGAGAATGCAACTAAAAAACGGAAATAACTTCGAATAACAAAGCTTCAGAATTTCAATAACTTCGAATAACAAAGCTTCAGAATTTTTTTTAAAAAATGACAGTCCCAAACTGGAAATCTCCAATCAGAGATAACCCAGTATTCAGTTCATGGGGAAAAAAAAACTCCAAAAACAACTGCTAGCACCTGCAGGCGGAGAAAACGAGAAAAATGCAATAATATCAACAAAATCGGAAACTCCAAGATTAATAAATTAAACCTTTTTTCAAGAGAGACGTTGGAAAATGGAGTCAAGAAGTAGTACCTGATTTCAGATTGAAAAGAAGAGGACTGACAGGGAAAAGGATATCAGAGGATCATATGGATTTCAGGATCGAACAGATGCATAAACGAGAGGCAAAGTGTTTTTTTTTTCTTCACTTTCTCATTGTTTTATCAAAAGTAGCGAGTAGTAGAAAGACTCTGTGTGGTGGGTTACTAAAAGGTGTGTGGGATTCGGATTTTATGGATGCGGTTGTAGTTTAAAAAAATTATAAATTATATTTTTAAAAAATTAAAAATTCATAAAAAATAGTCATTGTATATATACATATAAAATTATAATATATATTAATTAAATAAATATTTTTAAAATTATGATGGGTGTAAAATATTGTTTTAATCATAACTCACTTTTATCAAAATAGTGTTTGGCATTAATATATTAAAAAAATTTAAATTTTTTTCTAACATGAATATATTAAAATAATTCAAAAACATAAAAAAATTCTAAATAAAAAAATAAATTATTGTCCACCAGCATTTGTAGCATTTGTGTCGTGTTCCCAAAAGATAGCCAAATGTATGATTAATAATGATGGGTTAAATTAATTTAAGCAAAGGAGGTTTGAGTAAACAAGGATGGATTACTATTTACATGGGGCTCGCTGGATCTGGAAAACAAAACAGTGGGTGTTGCTGTCTTTGTTTAGTGCTGGTGTCCAGATGGCTTTGTCGTTGAATGTTTTTGATTGGTGGAGGAGTTTGGAAAATTCTCTATTAACACGTGCCAAGTTGGAGACAGGCAAAACTGGCTTATCTGGACCCGACTAATTTGAACCACGGGAGGGATCTTCTTGATTTTGGATTCGAGGTCCAATGAATATCATCTTTTCCAATTTAGATTAATGCTAATATAATTTAAATAAATGGTTAATATTTTTGGTGAAGTGAATTACATAAGTTTGAAAATATTATCCTTTCCGATTTATAATGTACTATATATGTGTGTGTGTGTGTGTGTGAGTGTGAGAGAGAGAATTCTTTTTTGAAAATAAATAAGAGAGAGAGAGGGAGGGAGAGACAAAGAGGATTCTCTCTCAGTAGGATAATTTCTCTTTGATATGACTTGGAGATTCCTATTTTTATTAGATCTCTACATTTAAGAAGCAACTTTATCTGTTGAGATGCTCCGATGAAAAAAAAATCTATAAAATAAATACGGTGAAATTTTTAAATAAAATAAATACAAAATGCATGGTAGCGCAGAGAAATTATGGGTTTAAATACATTTTCAAAACAATATGACTTTAAAGACCGGATACAAAACAAAGTTGGAGTTAAAAAAAAAATTAATTTTTTTGCTTCAATTTTTTAAATATTTTTAAATTATTTTATTATGCTATATTAGAAAATATTACTTTAATACTTTTTCAAATAAAAAATATTTTAAAAAATAAATACTACTACTATCCTAAACATTCCATAAATATCAATACATTCTTGCCAACCACCAACATCAACATCAACCCCTTTGATGCCATCATTATTGATGCGAAAACGAAAAGACTATATCATAGCATTAATATTGAAAGTCAAAAACCACTTCAGGTAAAAAAAAAAAAAAAGCAATAGTTTTTTTATTAGTTCCTGATATATGATGTTAATTAATGATGTTTCAAAATTCATTATACTAACAAGTGAAATTTTTTAGTGTTTGGACAGTGAATAATTATATATTCACATTAATACTATCTTCTTCAAAGTTTATAAAGTTGATGATTGGTGGTAAATAGCCTAATACATATAAAACAGTCTTTTTTGATGGATTTAAAAAAAATTTAATGATGAGATCAGTGATTTTAAATAAGAGATTGCAATAAATAAAAGAATAAAATTTGAATTCTAAGAATAAAAGTATTTGTTATTTTTTTTTGTATAATAAATGATTTGAGAAGTAAAGTATGAAAACTTAGAGAAATATAAATTATGAACTATTTATCTAGGTGGTTCATAAGGTATATATAACCTTTAAACGTTGTTATTTTACTTGAAATGAAAGTTGGAGTGTTATATCATCATGATAACATTAATGAGAAATAAATATCTCTTACATAATATTAATGAGAGATAAATATCTATTATACAATATTAATGTTGATGGAAATATATAATAAGTCTTTGAAAGACTTTTTATACATTTAGGATGTAGAGAGATGATTATTCTTGATTTTTAACATTTCATGTTAAAAATTATAAAAATAAATAAACAAGGTCTCGTAACCCAACATGGAGCTTATGTACTTAGGCTCAACATGTGATAAAATTTAAGGATGTTGAGCCTGGCAACTCACCAGATCCATATGTACCGGGGCTCGGCACATAACTGAACCTAAAGATATTAGATTTGACAACTCATCAGACTTATATGTATTTTTGTTCAACATGTTGAGTTTGACAGCTTGTCATACCTACATGTACTTGGGTTCAACGCGTAGTTGAACCCAAAGTTATTAGGTATAACAACTTGCTAAATTTATATGTACTTGGGTTTAACATGTAGTTGACTAAAGGATATTGATACAACTCATCATACCCATATATATTTGGGCTCAATATATAAATGAGCTTGGGCTTAACATATAGATAACAATTCATCAAACTCATATACACTTAGACTTAATATGTAGCTGAATTTAAGAATGTTAGGCTTGAAAGTAACTTGAACATATATCATTTGGGTTTAATATTCTACCCAACCTAGATATGTTACATTATCACCACGTCTTTGGCTCTTTTAAACATAGATTAAGGCAATATATAAAATTAAAATATGAATATCATAAGTAATTTTGAGCTACTATGAAAAAAATAATAGAATTTTTTTTAATAAGATCTTATTGTATTTTCCTTATAAATTGATTGTTTATAATAATAGCTTTCCAACTAGTTAGGATATTGAAGTTTCAAATCATTTTCCTAAATCCATTAAAAAAAGTATTTCATTTTTCTTTTTAAAAAAATATTATAGCGAGTTGGGATAGCAAAAGGGATAATATTAAAAAAAATATTATAAACTATTAAATATTCTTGATGTAGTGTTTTACTATTCATATAAAATAATTGTATCATTCTAAAATCATTAAAAAAACTACCGGTGCTTAGGTTTTAATTGTGAAAGAATTATAGTAGTGAATTGATGACTTTGCTCTTCACTTTAAAATTATTAAGTCTTGTATTTGGGGTAAAATAGTCTTTTTTAAATAATTAAAAAATCATTTAAGAATTAGACAAGGGCAATAAGATTTTTACACTTTTATTTAACAAGATAAAATTATTTAATCACCCTTGAAAGTAAAATTTTATAAACTTGGATCTATAATCTTTTTTATCTTTTTGCTTTATTTTTTTTTAAACTGTTAAATGATATATTTTCCTTTGTCTAGAAATATTTGCGTCTTTTCATATTGTTTTTTTTTTGTAATAACATGAATGTTAAAGAGGTTGTTTAGTAATTAACTTAGTATAAATATTATTAAAAAAAAACTTGTGCATGGTGCACACACACCAACTTGTGAAATGTCTTTGCATCATTTGGGTAGCATATGAGACCTCTGTGTGGTGATTATACAATAGCTTTTATAATTGTGTTTGATTTGTCTTGATTTTTCTCCATGTAGATGTAGCACGTATTCTAAATGAACATCATATTTAGTGTGCACAAACCTTCTTTTTTTTTTGTTCTTTTCTTTCCCTATCTCTTCTTTGATTTCCACATTAACCATGTAAAAGAATAAAAGCTGCTCATTATTTTGTTTTTTTTATATATATATTTGATTTCTATTTTTTATTATAATTTATTGTGTTTGAGATGATTTATGAAATTATATTATTTTTGAATTTCATCTTTTTTCATTTTTTTTTTACCAATTTGCTTATCATTAGTTTAATTGCTTTTTTTTTTGTTCCATGGCAATTTTTTTAAAAATTGATAAAAAAAAATCAATTTCATGCTATAGCATTTAATTTGTTTTAAATTAAGGTTCTTGATTAACTTTAGACCACAAGTTTGGAAGATTGATTCAAATTTAAAGAATTCATCTAAATTCACTTGTTTTTTTTCTAAGTTTATGTTTTTTTTAATTTTATTTCTTTATATTTGTTTTATATAGAATTTTTTACTGATTTTGATAATGATATAAGTTATCTAGATTCCTTTTATATCTATTCAATTTAGCTTTTTTTAAATATTTTTTTTTAAAAAAATATAATTAATTTATTAAATATGATAATAAGATGCTATTGATTAGCTTGCTTTTTAATTTGTTAGTCTAACGGCATGAGCAGCATTTACTTATAAAAAATTATCAGGGCAGGACTTAAATCTTGTCGGTGAAATCAAATATCTAAAAAATATATATTACTTTCATGTCATTTAATTGGTCCAAATATTCTATTCGAGTGGCATTTACTGTGGAAGAACCACGGTACCTCACAAGCAGCCCCGTGAAAATCAATGTAGCTTCTTAACCCGCCATCTCATCCAACAGTCTCATATGGCACAATGTTGTTTTAACTACGGCTTCCACCAATACTGTATCGCCACCAAACATCATCCTATTGGTGGGAGCACGGATTAATATTATCAATAATTGAGCAACTTATACGAGCCGGCATGATGTTCATGAATCAGTTTATACAAGCTATACACTGATCAGTAAAAATCTATACAGAAAGCATCGAGTATTTGACCATAAGGTACATTGGGTAATTACAAGGTTTAAGAGAATGAAAAATCGGTTTCCTCTGCAAGAACCTTCTTTATTTTCTTTTCTTTAGAGACTCTATGCATGACTCCTTTAAACAAAGTTCAGGGAGCTTTTATTTACACTCCGGCCAGCTCTTCCCCCATTACTTGACAATCAGACGCTGAACAGCTTAAGGGCTTTCACAAAACTCCATCTCCTAACATTCCAAATGGAAGTGATTCATCAGAAACGCCTCAAGAAATCTGGTGCTATTATTAGGATTTCCATATGAAGGACCACTTTGTAACATTATTTTGTTAGCAATTACTCCCAAAAAAGAAAATGAACACAACACTTTACGGTGACTATCCAAGATTGAGATAAATTCAAATGAACATGCAGGTGCAAAAGCAGAGTGATAGCGAAGTTTTGATGGCAGTAATTCTCTCAAATATGTGATGGGAGAGTGTGTATCTGAAGTTA